ATAGAAACCTATGTAAAGACACATTTAAACTCTTACTTTCTTCAAATGCTACTTTGTTTTGTGAGTTCTTGTAATATTTACTTGGGAAAAAATTACTCCATCACAGACTAGTCAGTTCACAATGCTTCATATTGGTTGTGTGCATATTCTCAGTTCTGCCATAGTTAATTTCATAGTATGACACTTGAATCCTCTTAACACAATAGTTTCATTATACAAGATATGAGAAACCAGTTTCATGAGTTCAACATTTTCTAAAGAACTTTTATCAGTTAACTGTCAAGTAAACAGAAAAGCAGTTCAGTGTTTTTGGATTAGATGCATTTTGGCAATAAATATAAAGTATAAAGAAAAAAAAAAACACTTCCCCATTTCTGACTTCTATCAATCTGCAAGCATTGAGTTGGTACTTGACGTGTGACACAAGCACAGTATTTCATAAAAAGCATTTGGAGGGAATGCCTAAATGTCATATTATTGTCATAATTGTGCTGAAAATCTTAAAGGCAGGAAAAACAAATTGCAACTAATGTAGTGCATACCTCCACAGGGGCTACCAGATTCACTCCTATTCAGTGCAGAGGCAGCCAGTTACACAACAGACACTCATCCAACTTAATAAATATTCTAGGAGTATTCTTTTGAGGCTTTATTTAAAAATATAGAAGTGGGATAGGTGCAGGGAAACCGTGGGTGACTCCAGCAACATTTAGTATTAGACTGGAGCAGTGTCCATTTTTTGTAATGTTGAGTTGTTGGTCGAGGGGGGCACGGGACACCTTAGCTGCCATTGTGCTACATGCTGGGTGTCCAGTGCACTCCTGTACCTTTAAGAAGGGGTGGGTTCCCTCAGGTTCATCTGCCCTATCCGTCTATCCATTAAATACATGTGCCTCTACTATGGGGGCTCTTAAAATTGGAGAATTAAGAACTACAGAATACTGGGGTGCCATGACGAGGTTCTGTACCTTACGCATGTGTTTGCAAATGTGTGCTAAGTAAACCCCTGTTTTTAACACATACTGTTAGACAGGTTAAATCGGTTTGTTTGCAAGCTGGCTGGCAAGTTAGAGCTGGGAATTTTTCTTTTTTTGTTGTTTGAGATGCGTCGTCCTTGTGTTCCTTGGTGTGAAGGCCAATTATATACTGGGGCAGTGGCCATTTTTTGTGCATTCAGTATTAACTTAAGAAATTCTGAAGGACCCTCTGCACACTGGTATATACCCTTTCAAGCAGACTATGCAATAAATAGGGATATTTTGTTCACACATATTGCAATACATGCTTAAGCTGGCCAACTGCGTCAAAGTAATCCCTCTATGGCCAGTCCTACTCTGCTCTGCCTATGCAAATGCTACTGTGGACACAATGCCAACATAGGGGAAAAGACACAATGGGGAGAGCTACAAGGTTCAGGTCTGGCTACTGACCCAACAATACAACAAATAAGAGATCCCTGTGCTCAAATCCCAAGAGCTAGTGCATGCATTTATCCATCAGGTGCTAAAGGGACGTAACCACATATAAACACTAGAAATTCTGAAGGACCCCTCTGCACACTGGTATATACCCTTTTAAGCAGACTATGCAATAAATAGGGATATTTAGTTCAAACATATTGCAGTACATGCTTAAGACAGGTTAATTCGGTTTGTTTGCAAGCTGGCTGGCAAGTTAGAGCTGGGAATTTTTATTTTTTGTTGTTTGACATGCTCCTTGCTGTGAAGGCCAGTTATAGACTGGGGCAGTGGCCATTTTTTGTGCATTCGGTATTAACTTAAGGACACATATTTTCCTCCTAAAGATATTGGGCACAGTCCTTGCAGCAGCAAATGATGAACTGAGCTATACAGGGACACCACAAATAATGTCCTCATTTAAGCACAAACTGACTCTGGGGCAAGAGGAATAGCAGCAGCACACTGTCATTGGGATCCCACACATCAGTCTGTACTCACTAATGGATGCCTCCTTCCAATATCTTCAAAACACCTCTACAGTGAATCCTACAGACAAGATTCCCAGAAGAAGTCCCTCAGTCAGCTCTAGCAGAATTCAGAATAGGCCCCTAGCTAGCCAACCTTGATGAATAGTAGACTGCTCAGAGAAGCAGCTCTTAGGTTGGGATCTCCTCCTCCTGGGCAATAACCTCTCTACTCCAAGCCTCAGACTATTTATGCGCACTCCTATCTACCATTTGAACACCCTCCCCTGGGGATTGGCCGAGACCACAGAAATATTCATACTGCTTTCCAGAACCATCAAAAAAGCAAGGGAAAGCAGCTAAACCCACAGCCTGTGAAACTCAGAGCAGACCAGAACAAGCAGCTCTACTGATTACAGGAGAGCCAAAGAGTTAAATTTGTTAAATTTACCTAACCTAGCATCTATCTAGGAGGGTGTTAGCAGTGGCGTATTTAAGTTTTGTGCTGCCCTAGGCAACACAAAAATTGCCTGCTGTTCCACCCCCCCCCCCACTTCCCTGCCCCAGTACCACCGCACCCCTCTCAAAAATGCTGCCTTGCGGTAAATACACTCCTGCTCTCCACCAAGTATAGATCCCCCCCCTCACCTCAGTTCAGACCCCTCTCCACCAAGTATAGATCCCCCCCTCACCTCAGTACAGACCCCCTCCCCCACCAGTCCCCCCTCAGTACAGATCCCCCACTCTGAGTACAGACCTCATTCCCCTTTAAGTAGAGATTCCCCCCTCCCTCAGTATAGACCCACCTTCCACTAAGTACAGGCCCTTCTCCATCATTATAGACCCCCCTCTCTCAGTACAGACCCCCCTCCACTTGTGCTAGTAGGGAGGTGCGGGGAAGGGGGTCAGATATGTGCTGGGGGGGCGCTTTAGGAGGGGAGAAGGCATGTTCTCTTGTGTGGGGTCAGATTTCAATTCCAAAACCAACTTCTAGTATAGATCCTCTCCCCTCCCAAAGTTCTCCCCCAGCACATAACCCCCATCACTAATTTTTTTTTAACTTGCCCCCCCCCCCCCCCTTCTCGGTCACTCTGTCCCCCTCCTCTGCCCAGGAACAATAAAAGAAAATCGGTACAGACCTCAGATCAGCACAGACATGCACAGCGGTGTCTCTCCACCTCCTCCCGTGTACATTATAGACAGTGGAGGAGAGGGAGGCGGCTTCGGTGTGCTCTGCTGAGAGTCAGCTGGGGACAAAACTGCGGATCAGTGTAACTGGTGCGGTGTCAGCTCCGGTGCCCCTGCCGATGGACCCTGCGTTGATCCGCCTCCCCATTGCACACAAAAATGAGCAGAGTTGAGCCCAGGCTGCTCCCAGTCCCAGCACTCAGATCACTCTGTGTCCTGTGTCACTTCTGCCGGGAGAAGGGGGGCCGTGCCGCCCCCTAAAAGGCAAAACGCCTTGTTTGCCTCGCGGTAAATACGCCCCTGGGTGTTACACTAATATAGATACATACTGTATATATATACATTTTTTTTCCCACATGCTGTTGACTTTTTGCTGATAAAGTACATATACATCCATTCAGTAAAACCTTATATATGATTTAAAGTAATGTTACTTACAATGTTAATGTAATTTGTAAAGTTTTTTTCTTGATAAATCTCAAGATAAAACAACACCTGGTGATCTTTCCATCCAGTTTCTAGTTCAGGCACTTCTCCCAGTTGTGCTGTTTGCTGTCTCTCAGTCAACTGCATATGTCAATAGGTTTTGAGTTACAGACCTGGAACTAGCATGTTGAGAATAGGTGTCAAAAAAGTGTCAGAATTCCTTATCTCTGTTCATTCCAGGTCAGTGGCTCATTAAAGCCAAAATTTTAGCATAACAGCTAGGCAGCAAGCATTTCCATAAGAAATGGTCAGCTATGGTAGCCTCCATGATTTTGTCATGGAGATATATGGGGATATAAAATACATATTTTTTATGATATTAGTGGTTCTTTGATATCTGGTTAGAACATAAAAATGCTTTGAAATAGCCAGTACAAAAATTATTTGATTTATGATATCAATTAGACGGTAATGCAGCAAACTTTTGCTATTAAGAAGTGATATTACTTTTTCACAACTAGGGATGAGCATATGTGTCTGGGTTCAGTTCGCAGGGTGTCCTTGAAATCATAAAATTGAAAAGTTAAATGTGGACCTTACTGATGTAAATGAGGAATGGAAGGGAAGTGGTTCTTGAAAATCTAATCTGGCTATTTTCAAGGCTAATATGCAAGGTATAATTTTAAAAAAGACACAGGGAGCTGGGTATTGACATGGGGACATTTCAGCATGGAGATGGTTTACTTATATGCAACTTTGGGGCCACATAGAAAAACACAATTCTTTCAGTGATGTGCTTGCCTTAAGCCCAAAAAGATAACTGCAAAACACAAGGCGCACCAGCCTACTCCATTACATCAGCAGTACCTTTATTCGTATAAAAAACAGATGTATACTCACAAGCGACATAGAATTAATGACACATTGATCAAACAATGAATAAGAATGACCTGGTCCCCTGGACAAGTCACATTAGATGTTACACCTAACATCCAAAAGGCTGAGGTGTTTCAAGGGCTCTGAGGAAGAGGGAATTGCCCCTGGAAATGCGTCAGTCTTTTGGATCACCTAGCCCCCTATTGCCATAACTGCCATAAAATTTTGGAAATTACGAGGAGTGGCCAATGTTCTTTTAATGAAGCTATAAATGGAAGAAACATGATAGTGCTGAGAACCAAAAATTGGTCCAGATTCGGCCATTCCATCTTGCAGTACTATTTTTTATGTTTTCATTTTTTACACTTTTTTCAGATTACAATTTTTTTTTAATCATTTTTATTTATTAACCGCTTTCCATCAGCCCTATAGCAGAAGTACTGCTACAGAGCGGCATTAGTGCGCCAAATCATGTATATACACAATATTTTGCATTTCCAGGTAGGGGCGCGCCATTCACGGCCTTGGCTGTCAATCATCAGGTCCTGGCTGGTGATTACTTGCTGGCACCCGGTGATTGCTGAGCATCTCCGATGGGGGGGAAGTACTGTTTGTAAACAAAACAGTTCACTCCCCTGTCAGCTCCTGCACATTGCTTTGCATGGCTGTGCATAACACAGCCATGCAAAGCAGTGTGCTTACAGTGAAGCACAAACACAGCCACACAGTTACAAACGGCACATAGCACACAGTTAACCCTTTGATCACCCCACATGTTAGCCCCTTCCTGCCCAGTGCCATTAGTAAAGTGTCAGTGCTTTTTATCAGCACTGATTGTGGGAAAATATGAGCTAGGGCTATTGATTCATATACCATTTTGTTTTCATTATGCTTGCATTGTCTTATAACGAGTTAGAGTGATGCTTTAAAGTAAATGAAATAAGAAATATCAGCATTATATTCAAGCTTATATGGAAAATTTTAGAATATGTTTTAGAATGTGTATGTAACAGGTATAACCGCAATTTTATCAGGATGAAGGCTATATTGCAGATGTTCTCAAAATTGTACAATATTTATTGGGCATACACGTGAAGGACAAACTGTGAGGGTCCTAAATTTGTGAAGCTCGGAAATAAAAAAAAAAATGGGAAATAAGTTGGGCAAGGAAGAGTCTGAAGGTGAGCAGACTAAGCCGTGTCCTTATATATATGTTGCAGGCACCTGTGGGGAATATTATGTAGACCCATTTTGGGAATTGGTGAGAAAAAGAGCAAGCCAACTTGAAATAAGTTGTTTGGCCCCGGCGGGTCCTGGCTCAGAGCAACAGTGGGAGGAAGTAAAGAAAATTTGTGGGGTACATCCAAAAATCAAACATAACACTTCCACTCATAACAGTGGGAGACACAAAGGTACAGGTACCCTTACCAGTGGAATTGATTAAAGATCTTAAATCCTTGTGTCCTAACCCCAGGAAAGACCCTTAAGCAGCAGCTTCATTTCTCCACAGATACACTTCAGGGTCAGGACTGACATTAGAGGATGCGATGGTTATTATTGTGGGAAAATATGAGCTAGGGCTATTGATCCTGAAACAAAATGGTATATGAATCAATAGCCCTAGCTCATATTTTCCCACACTGATCACTGTATTGGTGTCACTGAGGATGTCAGTGACACCAAGCCAGTTCCCCCCAGAGTCCCTCTATAAGTCGCTGATTGCTGCCATAACTAGTAAAAAAACAAAATAAAAAAAAATCCCACTATATATACCGCCATTTGTAAACGCTATAACTTTCATTTAAACCAATTTACATGTATTGCGATTTTTGTTTTAGCAAAGACATGTAGCAGAATACATTTTGGCCTAAATTTATGACATTTTTAAAATTTTCTTACTGGACATGTTTAATAGCAAAAATATAGTTTTTTTCTCAAAATTGTCGGTCTTTTTTTTTTAGCGCAAAAAATAAAAACCACACAGGTGATCAAATACCACCAAAATAAAGCTCTATTTGCGGGCAAAAAAGTACTTAAATTTCATTTGGGTGCAGCATTGCATGACCGCGCAATTGTCAAAGTAACGCAGCACCGTAACGCAAAAAATGGCCTGGTCAGGAAGGGGGATAAATCCTCTGGAGGGCAATATTTTCCTGGTAAAGCTGTCCCTGCCCTGTGCAGGGACAACAAGACATACAAGTGAAATGCTTATGATCTATCAAATCTTCTGATTTACAGGCACACAGATGTGTATACAGATGCAATGATCTTGCCTTGGCTGTGTCAGAAACTAAAATGTTCCACTCAAATCAAATAGAACTCCTGATCTAAAAAGGATAGATGTGATGCCAAAACAAAAGTCTTCTACTAGCTTTACTTTATTGTGATGACCACATGGAGGCTAAGAAGACCAAAGATCATTAATATGTTCTTTTTGCCCAAGCAGATAATTACTCCTTTGTTGAAATACCTCCTAGTTGCAGACTTTGGATGTGCTACACACACCCAAAAAAAATGTCATTATTTTACTGTGGGCATGTGTAGCATGTCCAGTCTCTCTGCCCGGCTTCAAGTAAACCTCCCACCCCAATATACAGGAATTGTCAGCTGTGTTTAAAAGAAATGTGGGATTTTTAAACAAGTAAGCTTACATACTCACCTAAGTGGATGCAGCATTGGTCCAAACATTTTGTTTGTTTCTAATTTATTAGCTATGCATATTTAAACTTTTTTGGGGGTTTGTTTCGTTTCTATTATTTTGACACATTTAACATATTTTACAAATTTCCCATTTAAAAAACATTACATTTATTTGTAAATAACTTTGCAATGCTTTGTACCATTTTACTGTAAAACAGTGCATTTTTTTATAGTTGTGTTTTATTATGTAAGGATTGCAAAAAAAATATTTGTTGCAAGACGATATCATGAAAGGAAAGCCTGTTTATCTGTTTATTTAATCTAGTGTGTAAAACCTAAGGGGTTTATTTACTAAATCCAGAGAGTGCAAAATCAGGCTCACTTCTGCCTAGACACCAATCAGCTTCCAGGTTTTATTGGCAAAGCTTAAAGCGGAGTTCCACCTGAGAAAAAAAAAGTCAGCAGCTACAAAAACCTCGGTCCAGTGGTGTCCTCACCACGGCTGGTTTTACCGGCTGTCTTCTCTCCCTGGCGCCGGCATCTGCAGTGTGGGCACCCGGCTGTGACAGCTTTCGGCTTCACAGCCGGGTGCCAACTTCGCATGCGTGACAAGCGCTGCGCTTTGTGAATGGCCCTGTAATCTTCTGGGACCTGTCACGTGTCCCAGAAAATTATGGGGAGGGAGGGGGGAGGACAACTTCTGCTTCCGATCGACTAGACAATCGCAGTGGAAGTGGGAGCGGGTACCTGTCAAATTTGGGTACCCACTCTCCAAAGGTGCCAGTCCTTAATGGGAAGCGGGGGACAAAGGCTTAAAGCGGAACTTCCCCTTTTGAGTGTATTCTATTTGAACAAGCTGGGGCTAGAGGCTGATTAGCTACCGTACACAGCTGCACCAGATTCTGAGTGTGTTTAGGGGAAGGTACTTAATAACTAACTGTTTTGTGAATGCTTTATGAATAGTTATAAAAAGTTTCTAAATTTTAAAAAAAAAAGAAAGATACCCCAGAAGATACTGCAGCATAATATTAGGTAGCAGCAGGACACTTTTAATCAGGAGTAATAGGCCTATTTGGTGGATGTCTTTCACTCTATCTATGGGGAAACAGAGTTGTGGTGAATGATGTAATGTGGAGTGGTTTAGGTGCACACTGTTCACACGCTAATGTTTTTTTTTTTTTTCAAAAGATTCAGAAAAAAATGAGCTGAAGGACTGTCAGCAACAACTGCATTTAATTAGGCATTTAATCACCTCAAGTGTAAAGGAAAAGTATGGCCAAAGCTATTTTGGCTCTACTTTTCCTATGGATCACAGGAGTGTACTTTGTTCCTCACTCCTGAAACCCATTTTCAGCCAACGGTGGGCTAAAGCCCATAGTTGGCCGAGATCACAGAGCTGGTCCAAGCTCTGGAAAGATCCCGACAATACAGTTGGGGTCTGCCCAGAAGCCTAAGTGGCAGCTGGCTCAGCCTCTCAGCATGCCGCTGACAGCCTGAACAAGCACCTTTCACCCTGTCCACAGCACAGTGCTCCAGTGAACACTAGAGGGCAGAGCAGAGAGCCAGTGACTGACAGTCACCAGCTCTCTGCTCAGAGAGCAGGAGTAGAACTGAGTGATCAATGGTGTTTTCTTAGTTCCCAGTACAGAGGTGTCAGGGGACAGATAAAGCATTGGATCTATGCTGTATTCACCTAGGTGAGTATAAATATTTTTTTTGGAAACCCCATACTTCTATTCTAAAGTCATAGATCACCTTAACCAAAAAAACTGTCTATGCAGATAAAGGACATATGTAGATAAAAACGAGCTGTGCAGCTCTGACCAAAGCTGAATAATATCCTTGCTATAGGTGTAGGCTGTTATCATTCCTCATAAAGCCTGGCTGGAGAACTCCAAGGATGTTGCTGAGGATGTTGCTGAGGATGCTGCTGAGAGAGGCCCAGCTGTTATGATTCATCTTCACCATCACAGAAGTGAGCTCTTTTTCTATTTCAAACTCACAGGCACTCCCTCACAGGCACTTTCATTCTTCTGATGCAGTAGTTCCAAGCTCAGCGTTTGGGAGCTCATTCCTGTGATGAGTGAACAGCAATTACTGGGCCTCTCTTAGCAATGTCTTGGGAGTTTTCCCGTCTGGCTTCATGAGGTGCATAAATGGTCTACATCAATAAAAAGGGCAGTATTCCACCTCAAGTTTTTTATCTACAGATGTCTCTAATCTGCATAGGCAGTTTTTTTGTAAACGGGAACTAACCCTTTCAAGGATAAGTTCACCTTTTGATAAAAAAAATCATAAATGCACTTTTTTTTGCAGGTAACAAATGTGCATTTATTATTTTTTTTGCTGCTGGAGCCTGTAAAGCATTGCACCTGTGATCAGCATATCAATGGCGCCCAGGGGCGGACTGACCATTTGGAAACTCGGGCACTGCCCGAAGGCCTGGGGTCAGTAGGGGGCCCCATGAGATGCCCCTGGTACCTTTTTCATAGGTTTTTTTGAGTTTGGGCAAGGACACAGGGGCCCCATGATCCGCTATTGCCCGGGGGCCCCATGAGTTGTCAGTCCGTCCTTGCTGGCGCCAAGCACATCTGTCAGTATATGTGCTTGATCACATGGGATGTACTGGAAAGGCAGATATACTGACGCGCTGTCACCACTGACAGGGCCTCCATCTTCACCCAGTCCTTCTTCTGGGTTCGCAGGCTCTGGCGGCTTGAACAGCTGAGCCAGGATGAAGTCACGCTCGTGCATGCACACGGGAGTCTCGGGAAACGGCACGGTGCTCTGAAGGAATGGCACGGGCATGCCGTTCCTTCAAACCGCATGCACCAGCTCTTAAAACCGGTACACGTTTAGGAGATACTCATTTTACCTACATGTAAGCTTTATTATAAGCGTACCTGTAGGTAAAAATTAACAAAGTAGCTTTACTACCACTTTAACAAGGTTTTGTGGGTGTCAAAAACTCTGCACGCAGATAGGGCACATAAGAAACTGTACCCCAGCACTACAATTCAAAAAACTCAAGTATAATTTTTTTCTCAACACAAGAGACATTACATAGTAATAAAATTTGATGTGTCCCTTGTACTGCTGGCTCCTGCTTCCTTGAAATCTTCATCCTTCAACCCCCTTACCTGCGCCACCATAATCATCTGATGGGGCGGGGGTAATAAAACTTAGGAAGCAGTGT